GAGGCACTCGCAATAACTCGCGAACAATTCGGTATGGCTTAGCGTAACTCTTTACAACATTCCACGACTCTCCTCGAAGTCGTGAGCAGTTCCAAAATGTTGAACATCTTCACAAATTTTCCCCGATTCGTTGTAATTCGAGGTGAACTCGCATTACTCGTAACAAGCTCGCGCTGCACTCTTCATAACTCGTAGCAACTCGCCACCTTATGAAGAGTGCAGCGCGAGCTTGTTACGAGTAATGCGAGTATATTACGAGTGTAAGCGAGTTCACCTCGAGTAACAACGAATTCACCTCGAGTAAAAACGAATTCACCTCGAGTAACAACGAATCAGTGAAAATTTTGAACATGTTCAAAATTTTCGCTGACTCGTTGTAGCTCGAGGTTAATTTGCTTAACACTCGTAATATACTCGCATTACTCGTAACAAGCTCGCCACCTTATGAAGAGTGCAGCGCGGGCTTGTTCGAGTAATGCGTGTATATTACGAGTGTAGACGAGTTCACCTCGAATAACAACGAATTGGGAAATATTGGTGAACATGTTCAAAATTTTGGAACTGCTCACGACTTCGAGGAGAGTCGTGGAATGTTGTAAAGAGTTACGCTAAGCCATACCGAATTGTTCGCGAGTTATCGCGAGTGCCTCTTTGAGGCAACTCACAACAACTCGCCATAACTCGCTAATACAACTCGGCTAAGTGGGAGCCCTGCTTTAGTAGATGCCAGGAAAACATCACTTACGAGGGTTCAAAATAATAATAATAAATAATAATAATAATAATAATAGCCTAATAGTCCACTCCAAATTTTATTAAACCGAAACGGAAATTCTTTTTGCCCAATTGATCGTGAGCCCGGCAGCCACTGAGCAGCGCCAGATCGACGTTGCTCTATCCCCTTATTGTTGAACGCCAAACAAAGTAGCAACAACTCCCATCTTTTAACGTCTTTTGGTATGACGCGACCAGGATTCGAACCCACGACCTCTCGTTTGTGAGGCGGACGCTCTAATGACTGAGCCAACACTCCGGTAGCAACAGCAGTAATCGCCTCGCCGCTATGGGGCTAATGGACGATGCTCCACATCTTATTTGGTTTACCCCCCCCCCCCCCACCGTTAGCAAAAAGCTAGATCCGCCCCTGTGTTTTGGAAGGATATGGTAAAAACTAAAAGTAAAGAAAGAATGTAAATAAGGTTGCTCCGAATAATGAGAAGGACATTATGTGCAGAACGGGAAGAAATGGAGAGAATGTCATCACGGGCAGGCGCGGATCCAGGATTTCTTAGGGGGAGGGTGCAAATTTGAAATTAAATTTTGGGAATTTGGAATTAAAGTATTAGAGAAAGAAGACGATTCGTTGTACCGTTCTCGAAAATAATCCTCGTCTGAATTCAGTTTTCCCCCTGCCTTTTACGTTTCATTAAATCATTAGAGAAAGAAGGCGATTCGTTGCCCGTTCTCGACTCATAAACTTCGTCTGAATTCAGTTTTCCCCTCGAGCGCGATATGCGAAAGCTTTGACGTTCCATTGAATTATTAGAGAAATAAGACGTTTCGTTGTACCGTTCTCGAAAATAATACTCGTCTGAATTTATTTTACCCCCCCCCCCCCCCCCCGTCCGCGCGAAGCGCGGAAGCTTTGACGTTTCATTAAATCATTAGAGAAAGAAGACGATTCGTTGTACCGTTCTCGACTCTTAATCCTTGTCTGAAGCCAGCCAAACCCCCCTTTTGCACGAAGCGCGGAAGCTTTGACGTTTTATTAAAGTATTAGAGAAAGAAGACTATTCGTTGTACCATTCTCGACTCTTAATTCTTGTCTGAATTCGGTTCCACCCCCCCCCCCTCCCGCGCGAAGCGTGAAAGCTTTGACGTTTCATTAAAATTATTAAAGAAAGAAGACGATTCGCTGTACCGTTCTCGACTCGGCTCAAGGGCTTTAGGCACTAAATTACAGTCAGCTGAGTATCAAAGGGCCCGCCTTAGGGCCCTCGGTTGGATCCAGGGCCAGAGCCCCGGAAGCCCAGGGATTTTAGGCGTTTAATTACGGTTAATACCTTATTTTGTTGTGACACTGGCAGTTAACTATTTTTTCTTACTTGCTCTCTTTCTTTCCATTTCTCTTTATATACTATTTCAAAAAAAGTGGAGGAGTGGGGGGAGGGACCTCAAGGCTCCCGATCCCCGCCGTTCCGCGGGCCCTTACGTGTAGGCCCCTAAGCATCTCAAGAAGCATATTTCTTGCCTGGCTGTAAATTTAGGAATTTGTCATTTTACAACAAACGCATAAAAAAGTATAATTTACTAAAAAATCTCGGAAAATTATGTCATTTCAGAATTATGTGTAAACCACCGTTATGAAATTAGAAATAAACCTCGTTTGAATTTTATTTCCCCCGAGCCCCCTCCTCAATCAGTACGCCAGTGCCCCCCCCCTGATTTACACTTTGTTGGCAACTGATCTCCCCTACGTTTTTTCTTTCTCTTTTTTTCCTTTCCCTTTCTCTCCTCTTTCCCTTTCCTTTCCCTTCCTTCTCTCTCTTTTAGGTTTTCTATCTCCCCTTCTTTTCACCTTTTTTTTTCTTCTTCCTTCTCTTTTGGTCCCTTTTAGCTCTCCTTTTTTCATTTTCCTTCCTTTTCTCTTTTTTTTTTAGCGGGGGCGGGGGGAGGCAAAGGCCTTTTGCCCCACCCCCATCCCGATCCGCAACTTGTTGGCGGGAAAATTGCAACTGATATCCCCCTTCTTTTATTTACTTCTTTCTCAATTTTCCTTCCCTTTATTTCCTCTTTAGTGACTGGTCCCTCAGAAACTAGTGCTAAGCCAGTCACAGAGAATTCATGATTTCAACTGATGCCTGTCAGTGCATTGTAAATTTGATTTTTCTTCAAATTTCATTTAAAAATCTTTTCATATTGATAAATATGGTGCATTGGCGTTGAACAGCGATGGTGTATTATGTGGATTTATCATATTCATATTCTGAATATTTTCAGCGAATTGAATAATATTGAAAAGGATGCAATTCATAGTTATACTCGATAATTCTCACTTAACATATTCTCTCTCTCTCTCTCTTCCTGTCTTCCATAAAGAAAATATGAAAATAATATTTTGCCTTGATTAAGAAAAATTGAAATTTTATCAGTATTAAACAGGGAGAAGGAAAGGGAAGGAAATTAATCAAAACAAACATTGAAGAATCCAAGTCAGTGTTCTTTAGTGATTCATAAGAATGGGTATACATTAAAAGGTGAAATAATAAATTGAAGAGCGATGATAAATCAATTCTTTGACGTTGATTGATTGAATAAAAAATAATGAAACAATATGGTCTGAAGGTCATATATCTTCGAATATTAGAAAGTTTCATCCACCATCGTGTTGTTGAACACTATTTGCAATTTAATTTTAATGCGGTGACTTGTCAGTTACGAGCTATTCTATAATACTATCAACAGATATCTGGATAGAGACACCTCGTCACATCAAGCTACGAGAAAGTATATCATCATCTCACAGAATTCTACTCGAACACCGCATCGAAATTCTTTTCACCCTTTTTTTTCTTCTTCCTGTTTTTTGGGTCCCTTTTAGCTCTCCTTTTTTCCTTTTCCATCCTTCTCTCTCTTTTTTTTTAGCGGGGGCGGGGGGAGACAACAGCCTGGGAGGCAAGGCCCTTTCGCACCCCCCCCCCCCGATCTCCTTCTTCCCCCTTTTCTTTTCTTCTTCTTCTTCTTTCTTTCCCTTTCTCTCCTCTTTCTCTTTCCCTTCTTTTCCTTCTCTCTCTCTCTCTCTCTCTCTCTCTCTCTCTCTCTCTTTTGCGGAAGGGGGGGGGGGGGCAAGGCCCGCTCACCCCCGCTGGATCCGCGCCTGCATCTACATTATATCTACTAACGTTAGACCCAAATAATGGATCTAGAAGATTGATTGACCTGGTCTCAGTGACGGGTAAACTTTTTTTTTCTCAATTACTTGGTCTATAACCATGAAAACCGTCTAATTTTACTTTAGATTTTCAAAAAGTAACAGTTACGACCTAAATTAGGCCTAAGGCCAAGGGCTGTACTCTACATTTTAATAACAAACTTAACGTTAACGTTAGACTTAACTTAAACTGTTGTTTCTCTGTGATACAAGTGGGATGGGAACACTTTTTTTCAACAGCAAAAAAAAAAAATCTTTCCCCTTTTTTTCCCCCTTTTTTTTCTCCCTCCCCCCCCCCCCCTGGATCCGCCACTGATCACGGGGATAAAAATATACAGCTATGTAACAAGTAAATTTCTAAGAGGGAAAATGCCGACTTAAATAAATGATAATGATAAAATACCAAGGAATTTAGGAGTTTCATGGGTACCAATTCAATGGAAATTTGTATTAAAATAAGAGCCCCCGTCAGCACTAAAAGAGACCCCGTGAGATGGCTCACGGGGCTCTTTTTGGGGGGAAGAGCCCCCGTGGACAAAAAATTAATTTGAGCCCTGGTAGGGCAACTCTCCCTTTTGGACACTGAAATGTTTTGCTTTAACTTTTGAGCCCCCCCCCCCCCTCCCCCCTCCCCCCCCCCCCCATATCTTGTAACTGCTTCACGCACTAAAATAGTTGGGGGGGGGGGCTTAAAATTTTCAAATAAATGAAAAAACATATGAAAGTACACGAAAATATTTTGAAAGATCCTATATAATAATGACCAAAGAGAAAGAGAGAGAAGAAGAAGACCATAGGATAAAGGGGGTGGGGTGGATTAAGGGTCGTATTTAGGGTTACCTCCCACTCCATTTCCTTTCATTCTTCCTCCCTCCCTCTCCTCTCTCTCTCTCTCACTCTGTCTTTTTATCTCTCTCTCTCTCTCTTATTTCTTTAAGCAATTTGAATATAAGGAAGGGCACGTGTCCTCGCTCCCCCTTAGCTACGCCATTGTCACTGATAACCCATTCGCATGTTTCCGTGGTCTTCCTGGTATCAATATAAAATGCCTGAAAAGAGACCATAGATTGTTTCCAATCATTCATTTTTATTCTTTATTTATCAAGATGTCACAATAATATGTTTTAACAACGAATACATAACGTACTCAGCTCCAGATTTGTTTTCCATATATCACCAACAACATGAATACAAGGAAGAAAAAAGTAGGCCTACATAAATAAATAAATAATATCTCTCAGAGTTAACGTTTAATATGATGCCGACGCGCAAAAGTATAGCTTGACTTAATTTGACCAGATTCATTGAAATAAATAATGAATGTAATATATTGCTGTAGTAACATAATATATATAGTCCGCAAAAATTGTGCTACAGATAATATGCCAATGGAATATCAAACCTTGGAAATCAAATGATCAATTATAGACCAATTTTTTTGTTACCAAGTGTATCTGAAATATTAGAAAAAAAGGACATAAAAGATTATATTCAGTTTTTTAATATTAATAATATATTAACACCTAACCAATTTGGATTTTCAAAGGATTACTCAGCTGATCATAACATTTTTGCAATTAAGTGATAAAATTACTAATTCATTCGCTAAAAAGAACAACTTGAAGGAATTTTTATGGACTTGTCAAAAACGTTTGACACTATGGTTCATAGAATATTGATTTATAAATTAGAAACTTAAGGATCTAGTGCACCGTTCTTTTTTATTCAGGACCATTTAAAAAGACGACAATTTGTTGATTTTAAATGTAATTTGTCGTTAACTTCAAAAATTAAATGTGGAGTGCCACAAGGCTCCATTTTTAATAGGTCCCTTGCTCTTTTTGATTTACATTATTGACATTGTAAACACATCACCTCTCTTAAAAATACATTTCATTTGCAGATGACACTAATATATTTTATTCACTTCAAAATTTAAAAACTCTTATTGAAACTTTAAAGTATGAATTAGACATATTATCTATTTGGTTAAGATGTAATAAATTATCTTTAAATTCAAACAAAACCAACTTTATATATTCTAAGAGTTTGCACTCTACAGGCAAATTTTTGATAATATATGTATTGATAGGATCCCTATTGTACAACAGATTCAGTAAATTTCTAGGCGCAATAATAGGTTTTAATTTGACATGGCATCCACATATAAATAATATTTGTGCTCTTTTCTCTAGAGCTTAATGTATGTTATATAAATTGAAATATTTTCTTTAAAAAAGGACACTTATTACGGTATATAATTCATTCATATTCCCTTTGTGGAAATAGTAGTGTACCGAGAATCAATGTAATATTTCTTCTTTAAAAAAAAGCAATACGTATATGCGCTCATGCACACTTTTTTTTAGGAAACACAGATTCTATATTTATGAATGTTAAAACCCTAAAAATAAGTGATATTCACACTTTGCAAGCAGCAATATTTATTTATAGATTTTCAATCAATAATACTTCCAAAACTATGCTTCCCCCTTCGCCTCTCAGGCCACCATCCACTCAAGCTCACTGCTCATGATGAATCGGCTACTGCATTTATTTATTTTTGTAAAAATATTGTCAAATTATTGTCACATTTGTATATCATGATTGGTTTTTTTACTGTTCTAATGTTATTGTTTTCTTATTTTTATTTTATTGAAAAATATTTGTATATTTCATTTTTATTTTGTTAATAAATGCAGAAATAAAACTGCCTTAAAAACAAAATCAATCAAGTCATTGATTTATGTGCTCGAGGTGGGTATTAAATTGTATATATTGTATATATTTTATTGTATATTCTAACAATTTAGATATAATCCAAAACATGTACAAAATTGTGCACCTTCGATTGAGTCAGTACCTTATCCACGGCAATTAATTTACAACCCCACAGAGGCCCACAGTTGTGTGTAGTCAAATACGCCGGAGAGAAAATAGCAAGCGATTCATCAAAATACATTAGGGATTATTCCACGTTTGAAGAAAAAAAGGAAGAACGATTACCAAAAAAAGAACTTAGGGGACATAATGTTGGTGGAGAGCGATGTAAATCATGTCAATATACAGAGAACTAAGCTGCGTTTAATGTAAGGTAGTTAACGACACGACAATGACCAGCTCTCTTTTACCCCTTTTGTGAAAAAAAAGACTTTATGTATGGATCTACAAATTAAATACCCATTAGACCAAAAATCCTTCGGTCTGGGAAGTCCCTTTAGAGGTGATTTTCATATAAAGGATGTAACAACTTCGATTAAGAGCTGTCTGTTGGGAAAAAAAACAAGATGGAAGTCACAGACATCAATTTCTTTTTAAAATATATTGTTAAAGATCTTAGGTTGATTAACATCAATTTAAATCGCTCTCCGACAAGTCTACCCCTATCGGAAAATCTGTCGGCATTTTTGAAAATCGGAACACCAGTTTATGGCCTAGTTGGCAAATTTGAGGATTTTAGAACTTAAAAAGGAAGTGTATTTTTCTTTCTGGAAATGTTTCAGCTGAATCAGCCCACTAACTTGAAAATTAGGAGTGCTTTTCCCCCAATCCCCTCTTTCTAAATGGTCTACTGACGTCCCTTGTTTCGGTGTGAGAGTCAAGTTTCTTTCGAAGAGATAGTTGATTGACTAGCTTAGATTTTAAAGCACTGCATGTCCACACTCTCGAAAAATACGAAAAGATTTTTTTTTTTTTACATGAGCCTAAGTCGAATTTCATATTACATGAACTCATGTACCAACAATACCCTTTTACATGTCCAATTGTTATTTCGCCACGCTATTTTGATAACTTTACTCAAAGTTTCCAGCTGTAATGGAAATATTGTTGTTTTTTCCGCGGGCTACAATCAGAATACTTAGGTAAAAAAGATTAAATAATAAGCAGTTTTCGAGGCTGGTTTGATCGTAAGTAAACTTCTTTCCATTACAAAAAGTAATCCCATGCCCATTAAGTCTATACCTTTCTCAATGATTTTTCTTCAAAATGAGTAATAAGGATACTGACGGGGATACTGATAAGAATTTCCCATACGGCATGTCTTTTCACCCACGTATTTCATGAACAAATGGGTGTTATCAGAAAGATCCACCAGCAAATGGTCCAATAAAGAGATTTTCGTTTTGGAATGAGATAAATAATTAAAATAATGTCTTATGCATGGGTGTCGATCCTTACGTAATACCTATTCATCAGGGGGGGGATGAATGAATAGATCATCCCCCCTGATGAATAGGTATCAGTTACAGATCGACACCCGTGGTCTTATGCCGTTTGGGACACATTTCACGAAGTTGCCCTTTATCTTGTTTTCATTCGTCAGTTGACAAAATGAGATATTGGTTATGCACTGCCATCGATCGATGGGCTTACTTCATTTTATCGGGTCTTCGCGTCGGGTCGGATTGTCGGGTTACACGCGTACAACCTTCATCAATGGGTGACCTACATGAGTCAATTTGCAGAAGGAACTACATATACATTTTTTTTTTAAGGATCCACTTTAATCACTTAAGGCCTTATTGTGTTTATTTATCTAACCGAAATCGAAATATTGATTTTGTCATCCAACATATTCGAAGTTCAAGTACAACGATATACTATAGAACAGATTGTCACTTTTTTTTTTTTAACATAGCAGCTACATGGAATGTTTACTACATCTAAATTTTCATTTTGTTGAACCGTTGTGCACATTCACAAAATAAAGAGTAAGTCAAAACAATACGGAATGAAGGTATTAAACCCAAAATGAATAAACAGAAACAAAGAACAACTACCATTATTAAATAGTCGTATAATGATCGCATAATACGACTTTAATTCTTAGCCCTAAGAAGCGGAATTGGCGCCTTGTTCAAATTTTAAACTCTGTCCCCCCCCCCCCCCAAATAAAAAAAAATTAAAAAAACAGCTTGCAAAATCTAGAAAATACACAGCCACTCAATCATGATAGTTCTAATTTTTTAATAACTTTATGATATTTAGAGAATCATTCAGGCGTAGGACGTATGGTTTCAAAAATATAAGAGGACCATTTTGTAAACCAAAGTATCAGTTTTATCTTACATTCTGAGGGGAGCACACCCGGGACGTGAGTGTTTATTGAAAGACCAAACATGTTCTCTGCAGCTTGTATTCAGTAAAAATAATAGTACTAGGCCGGCATCAATCTCTTATTACACTGTATGACTGCAATACTTACGACATTTAGATCAAACTATAAATAAATAAATACGTTTCATCTGGACGATTTATTTGTTGCCTAATAAAATATCCAGTCATTATCCTTAGCTAATCGTATGAGTTCTTGAACGACTTAATAGCGAATTACTTTCCGTCGTCTCCAACGTCATGTATTTTTCCGCGTCTTCATCGTGACTTTCATCGTTTTGTAAGGTGTTTTCTCGGGAGTGTGAACCTTTAAGTGAATCACCAAAATGCATTGACATTGGCCGATGATGTCGCCCTTCATCTTGCGTTCCGCTGGTCCCCGTACCACAATAACTCAACGGACGTCTATGCTTAGGGTTTTCCTCGCGGACGCGAGCGGACGTTGATGGGGAAAGGAATTGTCTGTGTGGTATCGTGCCCACGATAGGACCAGTTTTAGATCCAGGACCAAGCATATGTTGTTCTTTCTTTGTTCTGATTGGCTGTAAATACTCCTCGATAGGAGCAGAGTATGGTGGCGAAGGGGTTATGACGATCTCGTTGGTCTCGTCATCGCTCACGTCGTCAAGTTTCTGTTTTTCTTCGTCGTCGCCATCGTCATCGTACTTGTTCTTGTCATCGAATATGCCATCACGTGGAAAGAGCTGGGAAGTAGGAAACAAAACCAAAAAAGGTTTTTAAAAATAGATCTGTTCAGTTAAGGGGGGAAATCATTTTGATAACCGTTAAATAGGGCCCAAGCAACAGCCAAAATTAAACACAAGCTAAAGTACTTGATTGCGATTGATTGAAAATCAAGTTACGTTCGATCATTATTTTGAGCTGCCTTTAATCGCACTACACAAGAGTCCCCCAAGAGAGAGAGAAGGTGGGTCGAAGGGGTGGGGGCATAGGCATAAATGCAGTCGTATCCATTGCTATTTTCCATTGTAAAAATGGGCAATGAATTAGACCTCGATGGAATATTCTGAAAAATTGATAAACAGAGGGGAGCGAATCCTCCTCGGAAAGGAGTTCGGAATAGAACCCTTATCGGGGCCCCCGTAATTTGGTATTTGGTTGTTTTTTTTCTCAAAGGAATCTATACAAATACAGACAAATAAAAAGGAAAGCCTCCACCTTTCCTTTAAAAAATATGACAAGAAAATAAAGTTTACTTGGTCTTACCTGTTGTAAGAACATGAAAAGAAACATCACTCCCAGACTGGCCACCGCAAAGCCATAGAACGCGATGACGGCGTTGAAACGGTCAATGATCATGCCGCTGGCCAGGGACCCGACCCCGACGCCGAGTCCGAAGTAGAGTGCCCCGAGGATACCTTGCACCGTAGTCATGCACTCAGCTGGGACGGCCGATCCGAGATACGACACCAGGGCTGTCCACGTCAGTAAGAATGAAATACCTGAACAAGGGCCAGAGACATAAGAGTCATGATTGTTAAGTGCATCCTTTTTTGTTTAAACATCTTGCAAAATAGGACGCATCATCAATACACCATAGTTATGAAGAATACGCTGTATGAACATTTTGGGACAGGGTAAGTTATTACAGAATCAGCTTCAAGAAAAAGAAATTCCTGAACAAATGTCACTTCTCGGACAGTGTTACCGTTCATGATGAATTAGTTTTTTCTCAAATAATATGTGAAAATGTTGAATCTTGATAAAGTTGAGTGTTGGTCATGCGATTGCACTGTGAAAGAAACGCTGTTAAAGGTGATCAAGACCAGTAGCCTTGTTTACTAGGAATTTCCTTAAAGAGAAAGTTGAGTTCTGGGCGGATGAGGTGAAAAATAATTTGTGAGCGTTACCATTGTGTTATTATATCAGATAAAACAAATGTTCCCTGAAAAGCATGGCTCTTCAAATGCCTTTTCATGCCACATGTTCGTGTATCCCGTATACAATTTTCTGTGTAAAGTGCTTGTAACTTTAGCACGACTGGGCCAAATTTCCTATCATTTTGATGATTCCAGAACCTTGCAGTACACACCAATACTTATATGCTAATTGTCGAATATCATTGAACCGCTGACGCACATTTCAAACATGTCTTTAAGAGAAGGCCGTGTCCCTCATGAATGGAAACGAGCAAGAATAACCCTTTTGTTCAAAGGCGGTGATAACATGCTTTCAGTTAACTACAGGCCAATATCCATATTATCCGTCTTATCAAAAGTACTTGAAAAACTTGTTTTCAGACAAGTTTATTCTTACCTAGACGAAAACGATACTCAGGTCAGTAATCAATATGGATTTTGCCCAAAGTATTCAACCACTTTTGCATTATTAGATTTAATTGAGAATATTATGTCAGCCATTGACACTGGCCATGTTGTCGGTATGGTGGACGTCACTCGATCTGGAAACAGCGTTCAATATGGTATCTCACGATATACTCATTCGTAAAATAAAGTTCTATGGTTTTCATGAGCATGTGATTCAGTGGTTCAAGGATTATTTTTACTTGCGAATTCAAATAACAGTCATTAATGGCAATGAATCAGTCGTGTCTGTTATCGAACACGATGTAGCTCATGGCAGTCTAATTGGCCCACTTTTATTATTTTGTACCTGAATGATTTGCCGAAACTTGTTCGAAATTTCTCCATATCTCTTTATGCAGACGACACTTGTGTTTACTTTGCCTCTAAAGATCCGCTTCAGGTTTTAATCGAAAATCTTGAGTTCGTGACAAAGTGGTTTTCACATAAAGAATTGATACTTAATGAAGAAAACAAAAGTTTATTCTGTTTGGGACAAGGGAAATTCTTCTGAAATTTCAGCCTGAACTAAAATATTTAGGAGTCATTTTGGATAAATCATTGTCATGGTCCCCCCAATTGGAAAATACAAAAATCAAAGATAATCCGAAATTGGTACGTGTTGAGACGAGCTAGACCATAATTGATGGAGACACTGCTATTGTCTTATATCACACAATGATTACATTATATTTTGATCATTGTCATGTTATTTGGCTTTGTCCTTCTTCCCATCATTTAATAAAACTGCAAATATTACAAAATAGGGCCTTGAGAATAGTTTTGAATGTAGATTGTAGATATAGCAGAAAAGATATATATACTAATGTAAACATTGATTGCGTTAGCAATAAGATTAAGAAGGACTTAATGATTTTAATGTTCAAACGGATCCATAACTTAGCACCACCATCTCCATGTTCGAAAATAACCGTTAAAGAAAGTTCCTTTTCAATACGCAACCACGAATGTATTCTTCACTTAGGCAGACCCCGGACAAACTTCTTTAAAATAGTTCACTTTATATTGGTATCAAACTGTTTAATTAACTCCCAGAGTCAATCCGCTTAGCAAGTAACTTAAATATGTCCACCAGATTGATATACTCAATTATACCCTCATCCTTTCAAGTTATATACATGGCTTTTAAAAATAATAACAAATTGTTGATTTTTTTAAAAACTTGCATTAAATTTCTCTTTTTCAAATATGTATTTTTTTCTTTACATTTTTATGTTAATGTTATGTATCTTTATTATTCAATTGAGTATTTTGTTTGTTTATTAATATGTATTTTAATGTACCATGTACGGACATTCTGACAAACAGCATTACTAAGCTGAAAGTATGTCTTTAATCACCGTATTTAAATGAATAAACAACAAAAAGAAATGGAATACGACAATCGAGCTCATATGGGTTAAATGTAGGCCTATCTCTCTTTGAAAACATTATGTGATTTGGCATGAATCATCAATAAGCCTTATGGCAATAGCATAATTTATATAAAACCTTAGGGGATACAGATTCGACTTCCAGAGACTACTAAAACGGGGAAGTGGGGAAAAATGTGCGTGTGTTTGTGTATGTTAGCGTGTGTTTGAGTGTGGGGACAGCTACAAGAAATACCAGAACAAAAGTCAGAGATCATCGATCATTTCATTTAGACCTAAACTGTGATGACCATTAATGTTTGTGAGGGGGGGGGGGGGGGGGGGTGGTTGTTTTTATCCCAAAAAATGTTTTGGACTGGTAGCTTAACACTGCAACTAGACAAAAACCAATTGAACCCCCGCGATCAAATGATCTGATCTGATCAAATGATCTGATGTGATCAAATGATGTAATCTGATCAAATGTATTATAGCAACTGCCTAAGGTAGGTCGACAATATCTGAGGTAAATCCATCTATAACAGGGCAATGGCTGCTGTCTCGATGTTCACAAAACGAGATTTTGTTTTCATTCATCCTACACCAAATCATGCCACAGAGTGAGTCTGCGTGAGAGGGCCATATTATTGTTATTATGATTATCGTTTGTGTGTTGTATGTTTGTTTTTCATATAAATTTTTTTTTTTTTTTTTTAAGAAAAAGGTTCTCTGATTCATATCATGCAAAATGACAATATTAGAAAATTATAAAACAAACAAAAACCAACGGAAAAAATTCAGCTTACCATGTAAAATCTCAACTGGAATTAGCCATAGCGGATTAGAAATTGCAGCATAGCAAACGAATCGGAGAGCGTAGACTCCTAAACCCAGCGTTAGGGCAGAAATATATCCTAATGAGTTTAGGAAACGACGTGAGAAGAAACCGAGAACCAACTCTGCAATACTTTGTAACGCCTCGAGGACGCCTATCAGGGTTTGACTGGCACCTGTTCAAATAAGGAAAACAATTCTTGTTGAACATTTTTCTGGTTTAATTTCACTGTTTTACAGTCATGTCATTAATTTGATTAGGGGGTTGCGTTTGTAACTTCTTTTTTGGGGGGAAGGGGGTGAGCTGCATGGAAAAATATCATTAGAATGTTACATTTAGAATTTGAATTTGAATTTGAATTTACATACGGCAGCATGTATTTTGTTATATTTGACTCACTTTTTACTCTTCAGGATATTTCATCCACGTTCTCTTTTGAAATAAAAACAGTGTAATCAACAAGACAATGCAGGGGAAAAAATTGACGTGTAGAGAAAGAGTAATTTTTTTGTCAGGATGACACGGCAAAATATCTTATAAGCCCAGTAGACGGTACCACATACCATGTACATGACCTAGAAAAGTTGATAAGTACAAGGTTTTTTTTTGTTGATTTATGTTCTAGATGGGTATTGAAGTAAATTCAGCTTGGTTGCCAACTTGGCAGCCTTGGGCAACTTTTTTAATAGCCATATTAGCATAATCATCTAATTAGCATATGTGCAATATGTAATAATGTTGCTAATCTCAATCCAGGAAGCCTGAAAACATGGATAATACGACAATAAAGTCCATATATTGTACATATTATGCTAATTAAGCTATTTAAGACAATTGTATTACTTTTAAATAAAAAATCTGTGTCATAAATGAATTCCTTGTCATGGAAAACCCTTGAAAAGTCGTATTATCCGTGTTTCAATACCCATCTAGAACACAAATCAACAAAAAAACCTTGTACTTATCAACTTTTCCAGGTCTGAAAAAATTCTACAGGACTATATGTAGAAAAAAAAACAGATCGACATGCCTCCGTCTCCTAAAAAGTGACATATACTTTCATAAACAAGTCCGATTGCCTAATTTACTGAAATTTTGAGGAAATTATATTAAACCTGATCAAAGTCTTACCTCCGTTTTGGGAATAAAAATCAAGAATCCCAGGGGCCTTACGGGATTAATTGGGTTTTTGAGAAAATTAAAATAATTATGTAAAAGCTCATCATGTCTAACCTATATTCTGGAAGTGCCACAACAAGAACCCCCAGATACTACCGTTGCAAACGCCTGTAAAGAAGGCTACGAAGAAAACTGATGCAAAATGGGCACTGAGTAGAACTCGTCGTAACTCCGTCCACTGTGTATTCCAATCACAGGTACTATACTGAATAACAAACGAAACAATAATAATCACAAAAGTTATTTCTAAAAAAGCATTGGCGATCGATGTCCAAAAATGCCGTTAAGAGATAAAATTTGGACTATTTCTCATGCCAATAGTTACATCCCATTTCTAGATTTGAAAAGTACCCGGCGTTACTGCAGGCAACCAATAGTTATGATACTTGTGTTTTTGAAATAGTGAATATTGTTTTTGAAAAATTGTCATGCAATAATTCCTATCTCAATAAATTTCACATTAAATTACCTATGCGCATTGATGTTAGGCCTACAAAATAGAGATATGTTAGTCTGCAGGACCAGACTCTAATTTGATGCTTAAACACAATTCCATAAAGTCTTCAATTTTGGAAAAACAAAGCTCAATTTAAAAAAATATCGAATAGCGTGTAGAATTCCAGCTGGAGTCTTTGACTGACTTACCTCGAAATCCATGAAGAAAGAGCAGACAGCAGCGAGCGAGGCGACCAAGGCGAAGGCAAGGAAGGCGACACGGTAGTTGGTGATGATGAGGGTAACTCCCCATCTCACCACCGTTACATTGGTTCCTGATAAGAGCACACCCACGGTGAGAGAGCTGGAAGATAATAATAATAGTAACGATAATTACAATATTATTAGCAATAATAATATTAACAATAACAACAATAGCAATGAAAGCAATAATAACGATAATAATAATATTAATAAATATTGCTTTCAAGTTTCATTATCAGTGATGTAGATGTTAGTGAATTAGACCAAGGGATGGCATCCTTGTCCGAAATATTCTATAATTTCCTCTTCAGAAGTAATTTATTCCGTTATAAACACGCAATAAACAACAGCTACAACGAAATAGATTTAAGGACATAACTTTACATTAGAAAAACATTAAAATCAGTGAAAAATTACGGGGGGAAGTTGAAGAGCGTTTGATTATTGTAATTTTATCAGAATGCAATTCGTTTTAAAAACGTGCCATCGAAAGACTACTGTACGTTTCCATTTGAAAGTAGAGTAACATACACATTTTATAAGTCAGGGATATGCATATAATTACAAAATACATTTATCGACAAAAGTGCAGTATATTATCAAAATATAATGGAAGTGTAATTACTGATTAGGAACTAATATGCAAAAGCTTTATTTCGTTCTTCTTCATCAAACTGGAAAAAAAAAGAAACATCACTCAGCGTATTTGAGGGAAAAAAGGACATTTAAAAAAATATACATGTTTAGCGTCCCCGCCCGATTCCTTTTTTTTTTTTTTTTTTTTTGAAATTTTTTTTTTGAAATTTTTTTTTTTGAATTTTTTTTTTTTGATTTTTTTTTTTTCAAAGAAAAAAAAAACATGAAAAACACTGCTAAAATGGCTCTATTTCTGATTTTAAAAAAAAAAAAAAAATTGTCGGCGGCCATCTTGAAAAAAAATAGCCTCGACTGTCAGGGAAAATGTACCGAGCGGCCATTTTGAGCGGCCATTTTGAAATTAAAAATAAAAAATAAAAAGGGCCTCCTCCTTCCTATTTTTCGAGAAAAAAAAACAGGACGCTAAACATGTTTTTTTTTTTATTTGGCCAAATGAGAACTTCGTGTGGAGGCAAGCTTGTTATTGTAATAATTCTTCTAATCATTGGGAAATGCCACATGATTGAAAATCATTAGGGAAAAGAAACAGCATGAAAAGGGGACAGAGAGCGGAGATGGGGTAGACGTTTTGAAAAAGAAAGAAAAAGAAAAACAAGAATTTAGTCAAAATATCCCCTTCCCCCAGGACTAATAATCCCATGGGAACTGTTAAAGGAATTATATGTCATGTGCGCTCATGAATTTTTTTTTATAACCAATCAATCACCCCAATTCTTCTATTTGGAGCATACATTGCAGCATTACTTCCTTCCATGATAAATCGAAACAAGTGTTTCCTGCTTTTGAAGAGAAAGTTGAGTTCTGGAATTGAAAAACAACTTGTGACCTTTTTGTGACCTTTTCCAATCCTTAATCGTTCTACTCTATTTCCCCCAAAAGGTTCGCATGGAGATTATTAAAGTTGATACTCTAAGCAAATAAATGTCCCTTAATTTGTTACCTACGGCAAGTATATGTTATTTTTAAGTTTTTCAATTACTTAGTATATCACAAAAAAATTCTGTCTACTCGAAATCCTCAATTGAAATGTCTAAAATATCCGCCTCTCTTTGCATAGAAAATCAGTCACGACGCTGGTCTACTATTTATGACCTCACGTCCGGGAGAGAGTATATTCACGTACCCGGATGTTCCATAGCAAACATGTGCAGAGTGATACGATTTTCTGCATATTTTTGTTTCAAAGGCTGAAAAGTCTAATAAATCATAATTCTATGTACAATTCTTTACCTTCCCCTAGTACTTCATAGTATTAATATCAATTCCCCTTTTAAAAATTATGACATATACATGCCAACGATGTGCTATTAGTCGATATTTTCACCATGTAATTTTTGTTTTGGTGTTGAAATCGGCCCAGGCACGGAGTGAACAGTAGCTGTCTACCCATGCACAGTTCATTACCATACACTACAGCGATCTCCCGATGGTTTCTTTTTCCTTTTTCCCATGTCTTTCGCCTTCCTTGGCCATGAACATCCTTCATCTACCAATTCTGACACCGGTAGTCAGGAGCAAGTCTTTGTTAGTTGTTTTTCTTAGCTGGCAACGTCGCTTTCATTCTCTTGCAATTGCCGATAAACATATAACTAACGCACGTACGTTCCATCACAAGCAAGCAGCGCCTATAGAGCAGCGGCTTGGTCTTACCTCCCGATTCTGCTCGCTCCACGAACGTTCATGCAAGAGCCGCATCACTCGCCAAAATATTATAGAGGAAGCGCGCTTGCATGATCTCGTTCAAGTTTGATATTTTACAACATAAAATGTTTAACTGGTACTGTATCCTTTTTTGAGGCAGTCACACACATCTATGATAAGTACTATCATAGTTCTAGACCTATTCGTTTTACAAAACTGCTCATGTTCATCTGATGACAATATAATGCATCTGCCTATCATCATAAGTGCACGATTTAACTTTAATTCCTAAGCAGTAAACTCGTCTTAAATCTCTACCAAATAGATGAATATGAGGATATAAAAAGAAATCAGCGACTGGAAAATGTTGCTTCGTTATTCTTCATTCAAATGAAAACAGAAAATCCATCAAATATACTCCTTAACAACAACAAATCTAAGCTCTGACAGGATAGCTTTTACGTAGGGATATCACTGCCATTCACTCTCACTGAGCCCATGACTCCCGTTCGTGACGTCACGGATAGAGGCCCGACTCTACGTGCACTTCCGGGTTTCAGACTTAGATATTTTGGCAGAGCTAACTCGAATAAATTCATTATTCTAAACTTGTTTTGTCGGGTGGACACCATTTGGTGTTATTATGGGGGTTAAAAGCTTTCTATTTATGTAATTATCTCAGTATTTGGGATTGTCTTAGAGTATCAACTTTAAGCTTAAAGGGATAGTTGAGTTCTGTTGCAGAGGGCGCTACACAATTTTTTTTTTGTGTGTGAGATAATGAAAAACAGAGTGTCAAATTTGAAAGAACATAATATTTAAATGACAAAATCATCTTTGTTTGATCAAAATCGGTTAAGAGACGGCTGAAATATAACGATTTCTAATACTTGTGTACCACCACAAATATTTGGATATTTTGAACAATTTGAAAAAACCGTTGAAAAAAACGAAATAACGCATTTTACGTCATATTTCAGCCAATGCCGATGTTGGATTTTTTGTTGGCATTTTCGTGTTGCTTATATTACCCACAATTAGCCGGCTCATGTATTGTTATTTTTAATTAAATAATTCATTAACGGTTACCGTGTTTTTTTTAAAGTGGAGCTGAAATGGTATGATCGTATTGGCTAAATTTCACACATTTTGGGATCTAAAATTACCTTCATAGCAATTTTAGGTTCTAAAAGGGCACTGTCATAGATAAGAATAAGAGCAATAACCATGCACTTTGAAGGCATTTGCGGTGTGAAAACAGAACTCAACTATCCCTTTAAACTTGAAATATAATGTTTCAAAGCCTGTTCCAGGGATTGTAGTCTGTTTTATATTCTTATGTTGTAATCTGCTTTTAAAGTGAATTCAAATAAGGACTGCACGATGTCTTAAAAAGGTGATTAAAGAATAAAGCAGGCGAAGCGGTCATTCCTTTATAAAGCGATTATCAAAACCCGCCCACAATGACTTAACTAACAAACCTTTAGGCTAAAAATGAATGTTATTTATAGAGAGATACATAGCTGAAGGAGATACGTGATATTAGTATTGATATTAATATGAGTTGCAAATACTGCACTTTACTCAGGTTCAATAACCGTAAGCATTATAAGGACAAACTGTAAAAACAACATATGTTTGGACTGTCAAGCCAAAATTGTTGATTAAGTCCGCGGCGATCGCCAAGTGCTATATAGGAAATTGCGCGAATGTAATTTGTTTTTATGAAATATCCTTTCAGAAATATTAATGAAATGCGTCTGCTGTATCATTACATCGGACATCTCTCGTGTCTCTGTCCGTTTCCGATACAATCTGCTCGATGTGCGAGAATCCCTATAGTGAGCTTGCCTACATAATATATGTCAACTTTCTGACACTATTTCAATAGTTCAATTTTTGTATATGCAGTGGGGTAGCGTGGGTCTAGACAAGAGGAAGGGGAGACCAAATGTAATCCGATGGGTGAACAGCAAAATTACGAGGCCATTTTTAGGGGCGTGGTGGGAGGGGTCTTATCTTAGTTCCAAGTTTCATTTCGTACTCCCCCGTTCTTTTTTCTCGTCTATTTCTTTTTGTTTTAATCATTATTATTCGATTGGGGGGAGGGGCGTACCCTAATGCCCCCTGTTGCTACAATACCGCGCCTGTGGCTTTACTCCCGAATATGAGGTTCGTTATTCTCATGGGGGTAATATTTGTAATGAAATGAATGGGTAAATCATAAGTACAATTGCATTAAAGGGGGTAACTCCACAGACGAATGAATGATGGGGAGGGGGTAACAGAACTGACAAGAAGATAAACAAGAAGTCTAAGAACTAGGTATTACACTGGTTTATCGCGAATGAGCAAGAAAATTTAGTAGAACCAAAGAGATACTGGTAGAACCTGCACTTAACATGATTGTATAGACCTTCGAAAACTCAACCTCAGGCAACAGTGGTGTCCAAACTTCAACCATAAACCTAACCATATATTTTCGACGGACTAAAGCCTGGAACAATTATTATTGTCGCTGGAGCATAGCTTGCACGCACAAATTCTTGTCAATCGCTGTGCATAACAGTGTCTGCACTGTGAGACTAAGCTGACATCTGCATAGGCTGTGTACTTCAGCTGATGACAGAGCTAGGCTCTGCGAAAGGCTTTAGGAATTTTGGTTCAGTGTCAAATAGGAGTATGTGCCTGCCGACTAGCTGGAGCAAACGGCAGAGCTCCATTTTAATATCAAAAGTCCGAAAGAGGCGAACCGGTTTCCTTAAGAGGTGAACACTGTCTTGACCAAATCGCAGCCCTGCT